GGGGGGGTCGGCGGGGGGGCGGAGCCTCACTCCGTCACGTTCCGGTTGTGGTCGTACGACAGCCGGCGCTTAGCGGCGGCGGCGTGCTGCCTGGCCGAGGGGGGGCCCGGGGAGGGGGGGCCCAGGGAGGGGGGGCGGGGGGCCGTCCAGGGAGACGCCCGGCTGTCCTGCAAAGATCAGAGATCAGATCAGAGGAGACTGTTAGCACCGGCCCACAGCTTCAGTTTAATCCTACGTTTCTGACGGTTATCTAGATGCTTTTCATTCAAATCCTCTGGTTCAAATCCCAGAGAGTTCTGGGTTGGAGTGCCAGAGGGTTCTGGTTCGAGTCCCAGAAGGGTCCGGGTGCAGGTCCCAGAAGGTTCTGGGTTCGGGTCCCAGAGGGTTCTGGGATCCAGTCCCAGAATGGTCTGGGTTCTAGTCCAAGAGGGTTCTGGGTTCGGATCCCAGAAAGTTCTGGGTTCGGGTCCCAGAGGGTTCTGGGTTGGAGTCCCGGGGGAACCAGGACCTTTCTGGGTGGAGTCTGCATGTTCTCCTGTGTCTGTGGGTTCTCTCCGGGTTCTCCGGCTTCCTCCCACCGTCCAAAAACCTGCATGTTAGGTTGGCTGGACTCCAAACTGCCCTTAGTGTGAGTGTGTGTGGTTGTTGGTCCTTGTGTGTCTCTGTGTGTCCCTGTAACCCCTGTGACCCCGCCTCTCCCCATTGGCTACTGGAATAGGCTCCAGTCCCCCCCGACCCCAATAGGGAATAAGAGTTTATGATAATGGATGGATGAGACAAAGTATGTAATTAGGGCTGGGAACCTCCTTTAAATAAGAGCGGACCTCTTTAGTGGTCGCTCCGTTTCAGGGGGACTGTTATTACCGTCGCACAGCGACTCGATCTGAGGGAGGAAACGACATTTCAAGCCAAAGAGGAGCTTAATCTGTTGTTGTCTGAGAGTGATGTAGACAGAATCAACGATTTTTGTCCCTTTTTTGTCCCCTTCAGATTAAGGTTAAGAAATAAATGGGGTGAGGAAATAAAAAGGGGGAGAAAATGCATCTGAGAAACAGGAATAGTTCGGTGTGTGACTGGAAACTAAACGTAAACATGCGTGAGTAGGCTCACAGCGGGCGGCGCCTCCAGGTGGAGCGTCCTCAGCAGGAGGTCACGGGACGCGCTGCTGGCTCGCCTGTATCTCTGGCCAATCATTTTGTTCAAGTCATGGAAGCCGTCCAAGAGCCTGCACAGAGGAAACATCTATTCTCAGCCCAGACAATCACATGATTATCACCATAGGGATTATTTTTTAATTCATCCCGTCTTACACGGCTTTCAGACGACGGGAATCTTTTCAGTTTATCACTGAAATGTTTGAATCCTCCCCTTTTAATTGTAGTAGTTTAATATAGTATCATATATAAATACATTATAAGATATATTGAATAAAAATAGTTTAAATTCCACACCTAACCATGTTAAAACAGCAGGACCATCGGTAAACTTCCAGATTGAATTTTTATTTTGTAACAGGCTAAAATAAATAATAACAAAGCTTGAGATAAATAGACATAGTAGCCTGCCACTGTATTTCCTTTCTTTTTCTTACACAGTGACACGGTTAAGGCGGATTAACTGAACATCAAAGGCTCTTTTTGGTGAGCAGTATGGATAGTAACACTCCTGGAGATGATTATGAAAAAAATGAGGTGTCAATTTAACTCTAATAGCCACTTTGTGACCGGCACTTCATCTCAATTACTCACTAATCCACTTACAACCTGCAGTACAGCCCATTCGCCACCTGGGGGCAGTATCGAGTCTCTTGTTCTCAGTACAATGACATCATTGTGTCACAAAAGTCCAAAAAAGCCATCGCTGATCACCTATATTGATAAACTGGACTCAGTGGTAACAAACTCTTCTGATGCAAGATGAGAATCATTAATAATTATTATTAATATTAATAAGATCCACAAAGAAACACAAAGCTTTAATCTCATTAAGCAGAATCTGCTTTTTAAATGAGATTTTTGTGCATTTTGGGGCGAGACACAAAGCAAAAAGTGTTTTACTCATGAAAATACAGGATGGTTATATTTTCATTTGTAAATAATTTAAACCAATGTGGGAATTAAAGCTCGTTCATTAGGTTTTGGGTTGATGATTAAATCCCATTGGACAGGAATGAGGAAATCATATTGCAGTTAAAGTGTTTGACAGTCAAATCCAAGTTTAAATCTGTCGAATGGCCACAAAAAAACTCAACCTGCCCCGATAGGACAGGCAGCAGATTTATCGCCCCCCCCCCCCCCCCCCCAGGGGGACTCGTGCGACCTCATTCTTCTGGTCGCGGCCCAAACCAGAATATATTCTGATCCCTTCTTCATGCCTCTTCCACAGTTTTCTTGCTGTCCCCCTGTTTCCGGGTGAGTTTTACAGTAAATACGAGCCTCAGATGCCCCCCCCCTCCCCACCCCCCCGTCTGTATGACAGATGGGAGGAACGTGTGGATGGACCGGATGGGAACACCTACCCCTGATCCTGGCCGGCTCCGCTCCTCAGGAGCTGCTTGAGGGTGGGAACGTCCGGGGGGTCGGGGGGGCCCCCGGAGGACGGGCCGGGGGGGGGCGGGAAGGCCTCGGCGAACACAGACCTCTGGAGGGCGGACGGGCAGAGGTTAGAGGTACAGCAGGAACCCAGAGACCCCCTACCCCGCCCAGAACTGAACCCCCCCACCCAGCACTGAACCCCCCCCCCACCCCGAAAACAGCCCCTTGCGGATGAATAGAAACACCTGACAGCAGCATCGGATCTAATATCTAATTCCAGCTTTCCCCAGACTCCGTGCAGCTATGCAGCTCCTGCATCCCCCAGGGGAGGGGAGGGGGGGGGGGGGGGATGGAGGTGGGGGGGGCATGCTCTCCCCGCAGTGCTGGCGTCATCTTTCATTTTTTATTTACAAAGGGACATTTTAACTCCATCTCTGGCCCGACATGGGCAGAAAACTCTGGTGAACTGGCCCCAACGAGGAGACGGGTCGCCATGGCGACGCTGGAGGAAACGTCTACATTACAGACACCAGCATCACCCTAAAGAGGGATGAGCTTTAAACATGTTCTCAGACACATGTACGGGGGTCCGGTCAGTCATTTCCCCCTCTCCAGAGACACTTCCTGGGTCCTCCTGGGGAATTCCTAGATCAGAAATTAGGTCGGGGGTCTTTTCTGGGGGTCCCTCCCTGTTGGATTTGACTTAAAAACCTTCCAAAAGGCGACCAAAAGGCCTTTAAGCAGATAAACCCCTGACTGAGTTCTACTCCGAGCTCCTTCTGGAGGACAGAGCTTTAATAACCTGTACTCATCACCACTGATTCTGGATTTTTTTAATGCTCTTTCTTACTATTAACTCGTTGACTGGCAGCCATTTTCAGAACAGAGAGTCCCATACTGCCAGAGTTTTTTGAGCATTTTGACTGATTTTTCAAGAGCCACAGAATAGTTTGTGCTATGACTATGTAAACAGCGAACACACCAAAAGAAAGAGTAGACTCTCTTCTTTCATCAGGAAAAAAAAGTTTTTTTCTACCTTATTCCGTTCTTCCTCGACTCGCGTCTCACCGGCGACATGTTCTCTCATGGCGAACCGTTACCTTTTTCTTATTTGCCTACAGTCTATGCTCATCTCCCATCAAAAGTGGCACTGCCCCCTAGAGGGTCAATTTGTTACTACATACTCTGTCTAGAAGCCGATATTTACGGACAAGCTTTAGCAGATCGTCCCCCAGCCACTCTCGTTGAAAAACATAAAAGACGTCTATAGACGTCTTTGGCAGCCAATGAGTTAAAAAGACTTCCTGTGCCTTTAACTGCATTGATTGTGTTGATGTTTACAGGGAATAATAATCTTTGCGTTCCACAAACAGGGATACGTGGCAGGAAGGCCTACCAGGTTCTGATTGGCCGGCAGCCCGTCGGGCCCCGCCTCCGCGGCGCTGGTGGGCCACCACTGCTCCACATCTGGAGCGGCGTGGGGGGCGTCCAGCGGGAAGGCCGTCCAGCTGTGGTCGGCCGGGCGGGGGGGGGTCCAGCGGCAGCTCCACCCCCCGGAGGCTGATCCCAGACGCGGCGGCGCTCCGGTTCCAGCTGCCGGGATTCAGAGGAAGCTGTGAGCTATTTCAGGGAACACCGTCACAACAGAACTAGGAAAACAGTTTTGGGAAGCGGCTCAGAAACAGAAAGGCGGGATTCGAGCTCCTCTCGGCCAAAACCACCTGACTGTCTCGGTTGGATGTCCAACTCCTCCCACATCCAAGTCGGCCA